GTTGGTTCTAAATTTGTTTCCTGAAATAGATACCACAGATCTGGTCTCCAGCCAATATCAAGAGATATAGCTAAACTGCAGTCAATGGAGCTGAGCCATTACATTGCCAGACAGAAGTACAGCCCTTCCTAAGAGCATTCTTTGCTGCCACTACACAGTATTTTGTGCCATTGCCTCAAAGGTCAGCTTGTTAATAGGCTTCTACAACAAAATTTGGGAGGCCAATCTACCATAGACATGATTTATGCTCAAAGTGCAATCAATCAGGGTCACAGCTGAGGCAACTGTTTCCTACGCACACACAAGTGCTTAGGACATAACCAAAGCTATTCATTTAATACATTGGTAAAATGATTTTTAAATGTCACAGCATAGCTCCGAGATGTATTTATTCCCTGTAGTCAGCATTCTTTTGTTGGCAACTTAAAACTGTTAAAGTATAGACCCAATCTTAAGTTTTCTTTTATTGAGATAATAATATATTTGCCCTCGTGTTCGGACCTTTCACTAGTTTTATACAGCTGTGTCTCTACCAGCTTCAGTATTGATACTGTCTTTTGTGTTCATGTCAGGAAAACTAAAATGAGGCTGTTTCTCTCTAAATTAGATTGCAGCTGCTGCTACATCATTGGCTTATTACGACACTTTGATTTATATCTAACTAGCAAACTAACAAATAAGTCAAGTTACTAACTAGAGCTGCTTTGTTAAGCGCTTGTCTCACATTGTCTAGATGGGATCAGGTACCAATGTAGGCGTATAAGCCAAGCCTGACATATCCCTTTCAAAGGCATACGTGATTAATGGGGCATTTCATTGCTGCAAGTGAACTCAGGCTTGTTCCACCCCTGAATACAAGTATTGAGAAGAAGTGCCACGACTTACAGAGATACTCTTTTCTCAGTTATCTTCCTTAAGTATAATTTTCCCTGCTATTCTGCACAAAGTGGCTTTGCTAACACACACCCATCAGATGCATGTGTGGAAATAGAGCTATATGGTCACTGTTTCATGCAGTCATTAACTTATTTAACCAAGCGTGCACACACACAAGGGAGAAACTTGCTGCTTTTTCAGTGGCATCTGTGGGGAACACGGGCCTTCCCCAGCTTTTAGCTGGATGGATTACTCAAGGTGGAGAATGGGCTGAGACAAGAGCCCAAAAGCCCCCAGAGGTAACTGGTACGTTCACTTGGACACCTCAGCATGCAGAGATCAAACACAGCTCAGGAAAGTCATCCCTGACTGCAGCAGAAAGGTGGCTTTGCTTTACACGATACGTAAACACAAGGAAATCCCTTTTGTGCCAGGGGAAGGGGGAGCATTCACAAGACAGTCTTTTCACTGGGTCATCTTTCTGTGCCTTGGATTTTCACATTTTGGAAAAAGGCCTTTTTTGACCCGCCTGGAGAAAACTCACAGCATGAAGCTGTGGTGGTTTGGGGTTTTTTTAATTAGCCAGGGCTCTGGTTAAAGGTGCCCAGCCTCAGGGCATCCATGAGGTGGCATCAAGATGGCCACCAGGGCAGTTGACACACAGCGCCCTCAGCCCCTGGTGTCAGTCATGTTGGGTGCGATGGCCCAGGCAGGGCATGGGGAAGGCCAGCGCCACAATTGCTGGGTGTGGGTCCCTCCAGGGAAGGGTTCTGTGAGGCAGGGGCTTCACAGGGAAGGCTCGATACTGCAAAAGAGTTTGTTAGGTGCATTTCCAGCACCCACACAGGGAGCAGCCCGAGCTGGGCATCAAGCACAGCCATGTCACAGGCCAGGAGCATGACGGGGCAGCCAAAGAGCAGCACAGTCCCTTCGGTGGCCTTTGCGGTGCCGCTGCCCATCTATCTGCCTGCAGATGGATACAGAAGGGAATTTGTGGTGGTGCTGCAAAAACACGGACTGTGACCTACAAAGATGTAAAGGCACCTCAGACTTCAGGGGGGATTTAACAACCCAAAAGAAGTAAAGCAGGCAGGTATTTATGCCGCAAGGGTGCTGCTGTGCTCACCTCCCTGCACAGGGCCACCTGGGGCGCTGAGGGACACCCCAGCTCTTCCCTGGCACGTACACCAAAGGAGAGGAGTGGAGATAGCTTCTTGAGCGCCCCAAAGCAACAGCAGCTCCCTCTCCCAGGAGAAAATATCTCTATCCTTTCCTTCCTTATTGCCTTTCCAAGAAAATGGATATGTTAGATTTGCCTGATCTTACCCACTTGACTCCCATTGAGAGAAATGGGTGAAAACAACACATATTTATATTCTGCTGCTATATCCATACACCTCTGGCAGCTTACATTTTTTCCCCACCTGACTTCCTTCACTTTATTCTTTTTCCTTTTTTTTGTTCAATTAAGATACTTTGGCTCCCCATCCAAAGAGCAAAGACGAGCAAGGTAAAGGCCAAAGGAGTGGTGTACTTGAAGATGGATCACAGGTTGGATTCTTCTTGCTACTAAGACTCCCACAGAAGAAAAGGTAACTGGCAAGAGACTGTGGCACAAAGCTGAGAAATGTCACTATGTAATTGTAGTCATAGTCCAGAGTCCTGAAGGAGATACAGTGAAAAGGGAACACATGCCAGCTTCTGTAGCAGGATTGATACTATTTTTACTTCCAAGGCATTACAAGAAAATAGGAAATTTCATTACTATATTAGCATCTTCTTATATATCTAATACTGCCTAATAAACAAAACGCTAAGTACAATTGTGGTTTCACCCGGCAGGCAGCTAAAAACCAGAGCTGTTCGCTCACTTCCCCCCCAAGTGGGATGGCAGAGAGAATAGAAAAAAAAAAAAAAAAGTGAAACTCATGACTTGAGATAAAGACAGTTTAATAGGACAGAAAAGGAAGGGAAAATAATAATAATGATAAAAGTATATACGAAACAAATGATGCACAATGCTGTTGCTCACCACCTGCTGACTGATGGCCAGCCAGTCCCCGAACAGCGGGACGCCGCTCCCTGGCCAAACCCCCCCGTATTTTTGTTCAGTATGACATCATATGCTACGGAATATCCCTTTGGTCAGTTGGGGTCAGCTGTCCTGGCTGTGTCCCCTCACAGCTCTGTGTGTACCCCCAGCCTCCTCGTTGGCAGGGCAGCATGAGAAGCTGAAAAGTCCTTGACAGTGTAAGCACTGCTCAGCAACAACTAAAACATCAGCATGTTATCAACATTATTCTCATCCTAAATCCAAAACACAGCACTATACCAGCTACTAGGAAGAAAATTAACTTTGTCCCAGCTGAAACCAGGACAATGCTGGTAAATGCTAAATGGTAATAGTGGTAATAATGATAAATACTAAATGTTAACTATAATTTCCTGCCTTGTTGGAGCTGGACTACTGTTATGCCAAATGAACATGGAAACAGCTTTGACAGAAACTGCAGTGAGATGTTGGAGTGGGGAGAGAGCTCTTCCATGTCCTCTTCGAGGATGCAGCCTGCTTTCACTTTTAAGGGCTGAGATATCTCTGTCCACCACAAAAAGCACAGGAAAGGCTCTGCAGAGACAGAGGACAAACCTCAGTTGGTGCAGGATTGCAAAGAAACACAAGGCACAGCCTGGAGGACAGGGAAGGGATGATGGTTTGATCATCACCTCAGCATCCCACAGCCCCAGCTGGCGCAGAGACAGCTTTGGGTGTCTGAGTTACATTAGTGGAGTTTTGGGTTCAGAGGTGGGTAGTTTGAATTCTTTTTCTCTCTTGGCAGAGCCCAGTGCTGTACACGGGGAAAAATCCCTGCTTGCATTTACAGCAGCCTGTCTCAGGTGTGGCTGGAACCTGTGGACAGTTTGACCAATCTTTTCAGTGTTTTTTGGGTGGCTTTGACTTTACAGGGCAAAGAATTGTGGCTGCTGTAGGACCAGAGATCTGCCTCACTAGTGCAGGGGATGCCCAGGGCCAGGTTTGGGCCCTGCTGCCATTTAATCCTCCCTCTCTGCTTCGGCCTCTGGGACCTGCTAATGTAGTGTGGCCATCTTCTTGCTTTGAAACAACTTTAGCCTGCCTACCTGGAAGCAGATTTGGAGAGAAAAACTGTCTGCATTCCTTGATCCACCAGTTTCTTTGCTTTCTGGGATCTCCCTGAGCAACTTCCCAGCCCTCTGGACAATGTCCCTCAGTGTTAGGCAGGACCAGGCTTGTCCTGATTCAAGGCTTCCTTCTGTGCCATGGATGAGCTAGTCCCATGAGCAAAGAGCAGAAGGTCACTGGCATCCCAGTGCTGCCCAGAGTCGTGCAGCCCTGAGGCACAGGTATGGTATAGGCACAGAAGGAATCACCCATGACCTGGGACAGAAGGCTGGAAGGACGAAATATGAAGTGCAGAGGGACAGGGACAGCGTGTTTGGGGCTGGGCTGAGCACCACATTCCCTCAGGATCACAACCAGCAAGGGGGAAGTCAGTTGTGGTGCATTAACACCCCTCACCGGTGGCAGGGATGAGAAAGCAAGGACCGAGGGACATCCAAGGACTTCACAAGCTCCTCAGCAACTGCCGGCCCTGCCCTCTGGTGTCACTGCCCACCCCAGCTTGCATCCGTAGGAGAGATGCTCTTTCCTCCCTTCCAGATGCGCACGTCTCCCCCCCGCCCCCCGGCCCTGCTCGACCAGCTCCCGCCTCACAGTTTCCAACAGGAGCGGGAGAGCCCGGCAGCCTCTTGGTAAAACCAGAGCTGCTGAGCTGGGAGGGGGTCCCCCCTCTGGCTCCTCGCCGCGCCCCTGCACCCCACTCGGGGGCTGCGGGCTGCAGAGGCGCGGACAGGTCGACGGTGCCCGGGGCTCGGAGAAACCCTGCGGGACAGGCGGGGTCCTCTTCCGTCCCCC